GTATATATAAAATTAATAAATAAAATCAAAGATTGAAATAAATGCACAGAGCAGTGTACCAAAAATGCTTTACCTATTAATAAAAACACATAGTTTGTTCTTATTAATTATTATTAAATATTTGTTATGATTATGATATTATTGCATGATCGTAAGTGGTGATAACAGTAATAATATGTATTCTATACTAATAACAATAAGAATATAATTATTATATTCTTCCTTAACTTGTATTTTTATCTTTAAGAAAATTATCTCTTATTAGGTTTTGTATCATTGTTGATATTAAAACTTTAATATCTAAAAAAAAATTTTTCTAGGACAACTGTGTTTTTTATAATTTTAAAATTTTGATTAAATAAAGTTTTGGTTTGATATGGACGCCATCTCTGTAAAACCACCAAAACTTAAACCAAACCAGATCGATAAAACAGAAAAAGGCGAGTCGGTATAATCTCCGAGAGCTGAAATGAGAATACTTCTACCACGGAGAATTACGGAACATATAAAAGTGCGGATGGATAGGGGCGATGAAAGAGCGCGGTGATATACAAGGGTGACACCGCTAGGAACATGAAAAGTTATTTTTCCGGGCGGAAAGTAAGTGGTTTCATAAATTTCTGTCGGCCCAGCGTAAACAAAGAAGGGTTCAAAAGGGTGTCGAGATTGCATTAGTCAAACATAGTGACGTCAGCTCTATTTCGAATTTGAATGGAATCATTGAATACAATCCAGGGAAATATATAGCAAACAGCATTTCCTCTAATATATTTAACATAATATTGTTCCTATATCTAAAAGAACAATTAATATAAAATAATTTTGATACTGGTATAATACACGAGGGGGTTGAACATATTATATTTAAATGTTATAATAAGCGCCTGTATTTTATGATTATACTTAATACAAACGTATCATTAGGTCTGTATCGGTCGTATCATGAAATAAAAATAGGGTATTAGTATAAAATATAATAAAAAGAATATTAAAAAAGCAATAATTATATGCATAATAATTAAAAAATAAAATGTAACAAAAAAGCAAAATCGGACATAAGATCTATTGTACGGATTTAAATCAAAAAAAAGAAGAATGACTATAGCGAGCAATCAACATAAACTTGTCGTCAGTCATAAAGTAGAACGTTTACATATCACCGGAACGATCCGCCGACTTTGCATACACGGTCTAAACACACATATAGGAAGTTGATATAGAAGTCTATTCTTGTAAAACAAATAATCCCTGCAGATCCGAGGCGTGGATATGTCTGTGGATTGAAGAGTTTCGTAACGAATTGAAGAATGAGACGAACAAAAAAAAGATAAATATAAAAAAATGCAAAAAAAAAATAATATGGACTTGTCGTTAAAAGAAAATTAACTTCAAATTTATCTGTTCTCATTCGAAGATCATATTTGTTTGCGATAGAGTGGATAGAGCATCCATTTATTCTTGAACACTCTGTATATATCGCAACTAAAAAGAAATAAAGTTAAAACAAGAAAGAGAGAAAAAGATCTCCGAAACAGGCATGCGAAGTAAAAAGTCTACAAAATGCAGGCGAACTCCTGCCAAGTGAAATGTGCGGGACTCGGGAGACGCGGGGATACAGGCGGCTGCAACATCAAGTATCAACAATATTGCTCACGGTCTCAGTCTTTTGACATGCGAAAAATAAGACGAGGACGCGATGGTATCCGCAAGAGAAGGTGCCCTTCTGGCGGGGTTTCGCTCGACGAACCGGCAAGTTCGCTGCAGAAAGAGTCTTGGAATTCAAAATGGCTGTCGCGAGATCGCGCGAGCCGCTATGCGTGGGCAATCCATCGGCAACACCATCTCGTGCTCATGACACGTGTGTGTCGCTGAGGAGCGTCACTTGCGGCCATGATGATTCTCCAACTCAGCAAGATTGGATCCAGACTACAGCCTTCTTCTGTTCTCCAAAACTCCAAATTAGTTTAACAAAAAAAAATATATATAAATAAAATTTAACCGTTTTACTAGACAAATTGTGTATTAATTAATTTTAAAGATAAATTTTTTTCTTCATTTTGCGAGAAAAATATTTAATTTATTAAATGTAAGTGTTATTGTGTTATTTTTCTATCTCATAAATAATAATCCTAAATAAATTATAAGCTTTTTGGAAACTTTTAGATGGATTAATTTTAAACATGGAATGTGAATAATATGATTAAAAACATTAACTGCCATAAAAACTTGTTACTTTTTTCTGTTTGTAATATTTATCTAATAAATAAATTATGATATAAAAATTATGTTCCTTATAACAATAAAAAATATCCACAATAAATAGAAAATCAAACATTTTCATAATTCGTTTTTCTTTTCATTAGATTTAAATTTTTCAGATAATGTTATATTATAAATAAAAACTAATTAATAAATTAAGCTTTAACATTATTAAGCTATTGGATTAACATTATTAATATTAAAACTATTCAATTATGATAAATAAAAAAATTTCATTATAATAAAGAATAAAAGCAAAAAGAAAATTGATTATTTTATGTATATTACAAATAATAAATAATATTTACAAACGTCTGAGACGCATAAAGAAAAGTTATTCATTTTTAAAATAACTAAAATTAATGAAATAAATAAAATTTGTTGGCATAATATTTAATACTCTACCATATATCGCGGCATTTGAACTAGATTATATGCCAGTCACAGACATGTTGAAAAATTCAAATGAAAAATTCAAATACAATAAGCAATAATAAGAGATTCAAGAGTGGATGAAAAATTAAAACTGCTGACTTGCAAGCGGCCATGCTACGCTTCACGCCATCGCGTCCGACGGCAGCCATGCTTCCTTTATACTTGATATTCTCCTCCTATCAGCCATTCTCCTGTTCTCCGAAAACTGATAAATCCGAATCTAAATTTTTATCGAATACAATACGACTATAGACGACCGAAACATATCTATTGACAAGACTAAAAAAATAGCCGAAACCAAGTGAGTATTATACTACTGATTTATTGCATATATAGAGCAATTAAATTGTCATAAGCATTCGTCGATTGGAAATACGCCAATCGTGCAGGTCAACCGTACTCACACGGATATCTAGAGTATCCAGTTTTCTCATGCGAGCAGAAACTCCGTGCGCCATAACCGCCTACCCGTTTGACCACCCCGAGAATATACTGCATCTTTCTCATTCCCTCATCCTCTTTTTCCCTCTTTCTTTCTATCTCGCTCACTCTTTCTCCCTTTCCGGTTATCCCTTCTTCCCCTCCTACGTTCTGGCTTCCCTGGCGTATCTCCACCTTTTCTCCATCCCATTTTTATTCAAATTCATTGGGAAGCTCCTCCGCGCGAATAGGTACTCCCAGTCCGCCCGTTACCCGGCGCGGCGCGCTCCTCCTCTCCACCCGTTCCGTCGCTCGTTCTTTTTTTTTCTTCCCCTCGTTTTCCATAAATTCTGAATTTTATTTAGTCCGCTTCGCACCGTGCCATTGCTTCGTGTCTTTATACCTACGCGTTTTACCCGCATCAAAGCCGAGAAGTAGAGATTCCCGTTCCCGTTGTATTATAAGAGGATGTACCGCACGCTCTTGCACGAGTGCATATGCGGTACAATCAGAAACATGCCACTGTACCAATAAAGTCTTTCCAATTATGATTTTCTCTCGAGTTTATGGAATGGAATAATTATATGAAAGATTCAACTAAGAGGAGAATATTATTAACATCAAAACATCTGATTTCGAACAAAATCTTTTTTTTTTTAGTAAAAGTATATTATTATATCTTAAAATATTCATGTTTAAAAATATACATCTAAACTTTTTATACCCAATGCAAAATCTATTTCTACGTATCTTATATCTTTTTTAATTTATCAATGCTAAAATTAGCTATTGATATATTTAAAAAATTACTTCTTCCATCATATATACTAAAATAAGAAATATACTACAAATAAACTGAAAATTGATCAAATTGGAATTTACATCTAACAATAAGTATTATTCGTAAACGTATATAACTGAGCAATAATTGAACAAATAAACATAAAGATATCTCAGAAATGTTCGCAAAGATTGTAAGTACACATTACGTATGCTGAGAGATAAAATTTTCGTCCATGCGATGCTCGAATATATAATCAATGAAGGGTAATTTAGATAGTGACGTTATTTTATATACTTTATATCTCTCAGCCTCGCAGGTTCGCTCGGTCATAAGATATAGGTGTGTGTTGTATACGACGAAGGAAGGGTAGAGAGAGCGAAGGTATTCGTGCAGGGAAAAACAAAATAATGCTGAACATGCGCGCCATTGGAGGGTCGTAAAACGAAGGGGATCGAATCGCGAGAGTTGATAGTTCCCGGCATGGGTTTCTTTCTACAGTACCATTGCCTAATGAGACTGTCTTGCCATAGGAATTTCAATAGTCTAATGAAGATTGTATCTATGCGAGCGAACAAATTACATTACAGTGCCATCGCGTTATAATGCAGCATATAGTGATATCTTCATCTAATATATCTCGAAGTAAAAATTATGTGCTATAATTTCATAAAATTGTATTTTTTAATCATTTTATCAGTTTTGCAATAGTCAATCTTATGTTTGTTTAATTTTTCGTGAAAAGAAAAAGCATCGCATACGAATGAATATTACGTCGCGACATTAACATTTTTATAAATGCAAAATATATTATTTTGTTTCATTGGTGAAAAAAAATAAAGTTGGTTGAAGAATTTGAATGAAACGCAAGAGCGCTTTGTGTATATGGCAAGATTAATAAAAACATACACAGAGTTAAAATTTTGTCTAGTTGAATAACGTTCTAATAACGAAATGATTTAAATAAATTCGATTAAATCTTTTCTTCCGCGTATTTTTCTTTTCGCACGAAACCTGCGATAATATATGTAATACTGTCTTAAGCAACACATTCGATTCACAAAAAACATTCTAAATGCAATTGCAAAGTGACATTTCAACTCACCTTGCGGCTATAATAATAATAATGACGCAGACGTCGCTGCGGTACGACGACAATCCAATGTCGTCGTGCGTCGCGGCGGCAGAAGGGCGTAGGAAGGGGACGCTTTTGCCCTTTTCCCTTCCAAGGGTCTCGGTGACCCGGGTAGCTACTCCATGCCGATCCGTTTTTCAACTGCTGAAACAACCACACATTGGATGCGCGTTTAACACAGCTGACAAAACACAGGAACATCGGGTATCTTATTTTTATGAAATTTCACGAGCATTGTTCTTATTCGACACGAGGATTATAAAAGTGTCAATGATCTCTGCTGCAATAAGGATTACGATGTCACTGATAAGCGTTTATTTCAAATCTGTCCGTAGAGAGAATCACACAAGTCTAGCACCATGTTATTTTCAGCCAGTCGAGCTCCCGCAGTAACGTTCGTTAGAACACTTTCACAAATAATTCCAATATGACGAGATATTAAGAGAGGAAGCACAAACTTCCAATTATTCACGATGTGCGATAGAAAACTTGCTCCGAATTATACCTCGTATTGTGAAGAATGTTATTAAGAATTCTCCCGTATTTCTTTTGCTCTTTTATTCGGGGGGTATGAGAAGAACGCTGATGCTTATACACAGATAACGCTCACACTATATCAAGCACAACGATCGTTTAACGCGTTCAGTATCGCGATCGTCTGTCAGAAGAGCAGATGAGAAAACGACAACAAAGCGATCGTCGGGATACCAGCGCGTTCAAGTCACATCGACACGTGTGATCGCCAGGAGAACGCGTCGCGTCGTCGGGATTTCAACTGCGCCTGGCAGCCGCAGCGGCAAAGGCGAGGCAAACGTTGGTGAACGTAACGGAACGGAAATATACACCGCGAGCTGAACGAGTTAGCTCGCTGCCAAAGCTTGGCAGCACCACTACGCGACAGACGCGTGTAGCCAAGACCGGAGAGACCATAGGTACCGGCCAACGGGATTTACTATGCTCGAACTGTACCGGCCTTCTCTTTCTCTTTTTCTCTGTCTCTTTCTCTTTCCCTCTCTCTATCATCTGCTCTTTCTTCCCTTCCTTCCCTCTTTCTCGCTCCGTCGGTTAAGGCAGCAAAGGCAAGGCAGCGCAGCAAGACGAGTTGTTGCGAGCGACACGTAACAACGACCGCCTCTCTTTGCCTCGCGCACTGCCGTCGCAAAACCGTAGGATGGAGTCAGGTCGAAGCAGGCCAATCAGGCGCCCAGCGTATCTACCTGCGGACTGCCTTCTGTGTAGCACCTGCAGGCAATATGCCTCAGCCTTATACTTTGTAAAATGCCGGCTCGCGTCGATGACAGATCGTCCGCGGTCCGCCTCGGCTCTAACCCCTTTCCTCTTTCGCCGCTTCTGCGTTTCTTTGCGCCGAGGTTGGCTTATTGCGCGAGTAGCCAGCTGGCTGCTTCTAATATTCCTGCGTTGTCGCACGGCGGTTGCCAAGTCAATCTATCAACGATACGTCAACAAAACATTTTTCAACGCACTTAAAGAGCGTATGCAGATGCATAATAATTATTCGGAGAAATAATACGTGTCAACAGAACTAACACGCAAATACCAAGTGTTTTCTCTCTCTCTCTCTCTCTCTCTCTCATCCTCATATTCTTTCTTTTTTCTCTTTTTCTATCTAAAGCTAGACGCTGGCATCAATCCTGAGATAATAAAGGATGAATCCGTGAAGATAATTTATCAACGCTCCAGCTCCCACTTGGAATTTCAGGACGATCGTGAAAAGAAGCGAGTCACTATGCCACGAAGCGGAGCACCGCAGATTGAGTCACTAGCCGGTTTTATTTCGGTACCTGTTATTGGCTCTCTTAACGCTCTCCCGCAAATGCGAAACAAAGGTCCGCCATTGATTGAACTTGCTAGTCTCTCGGAAACATTTAACGCTCACTTGGACACCCCTAGCGATAGAAATGCTGCGTTTTCTCGCAGTACTAGCTCAACTGTCAAGACCTCTCATTATCTCCTGCCATTATCCCCTGCCATCATTTTCAATGCTATCTTCGGTGATCGGTAGCGTGAAGAATGTAAAATGTACGATCTCCTATAACATCGCTTGAGAAAATTTCGCGGAACGCTCGCACAAATGAACATTCTGGAATTCGATCGTGTAACGATATTGCTCTACATTTCTATAAACTTTTTTAATTGTATTTACAGGTAATAAGATTATACGATGAGATTATACGAACTTATGGCATGATTCGGCATTAAATCAACATTAATTTGGCTTAAAATGATAAAAATTTGTCGATCTTGCTTGATTTTATTTTCATCGCGTAATGTTAGTTATATTTACAACTACATTATCTCGTTCGATCAATGAACTCTCTTACGTTCCCGAATTAATACACCAACTTATAAACATACCCGGTTTTCGCGTAATATTAAGTCGCGGCAGCTCATCCTCATCGACTGTGTTTAGGTTGAGACGATAAAAACGTCAAGTATCTTTATCACTTACGGCGGCGCGGCTTTTGGGGGCTTTAAGAACTTTTAATTAAAATACTTCGGGCGCACAACAAGCGTGCGTTGTGAAAGGAGCGGATGGCGGCGTGAATTCTAAAATAGCGGCGTCGTGGAAGGAGCGGATTCGATGTTGATGTCCACGATTGGTTAACTCGGGTTGTTTCGAGATCTTAGGTCCGGCCCACGATATCTTAATAGATTGCCTTCTACTTGAATCGCGCCATGGCCGTCTGTTCGCTCGCAGGGATCCTGTTTCGTTTTGAACGACCGTCTTATGTTAGCGGTTATAATTCACAATGCGAACCGCAATGTTCTTATTAATACGCCCCTCTAATCCCGATAGTTTTAGCCGCAAAATGTGAAAAAACTGCAAATAGTCTTATAAATAATATCCAAATTTATTTAATGGCTTTTATTTAACGCGTAACTAACAATTAGATATTCTTCATTAGTATTATCATTCGCGTTTTATACGTTATCGTACTACGACGTAACAGTTGTCTCATTATGTGACGTCGCAATTACAAATTCGAATTAGAAGAATTTAACGAACGAAAAACGGCGAACGATTAGGCACTTCTGGTCGAGTGCATTCGGTGCCTTTTATGTTTATTATTTTATAGCGATGTAATCTGTAGGCAGTTAAGACTTAAATAGGCGGCCACCGTGTTTAAATAACGGCGCCCGATGGGTTTGTGAAGTCGTAATTTATCGTTGATCATCGTTCGTCAAAAAGGCCATCGGGCACACAAAGTTCGAGCCTACGCGGGATAATAAATTTACAACCTCGAAAATCAAAGCATAAAACTTGTAGCGTATCTGTAGCAGATATCCATAAGGATATATGCTACATCGTTGTATGTTCTTTGATCTCTAAGACCGCGGATCAGAAACCCACGCTAGAGAAACTTTCATTATGGAAATATAATGTATATGTCTGCTATTTAATGAACTCAGTCCCGAAGAGAATTTATTATCTACACAAATTATACCTCGATTCTAAAAAAAGAAAAGATACTAAAAGCGCAGTATTTTCGGGTTGTTTCGGTGTCATAATGATTTACTCTCGCGATTCCTTACGCGCTTTTTCATCAGTAATACATAACGAGCGAAAATTAGATTAATCCACGACCGCGTTTATTGTCACTTCAATCAGCTGTAATCATGTAACAGAGATAAAATTATTAGTCGATAAACTGTAAGCATTGAATGTTACATAGAAATGGCTAATAAAATCGGCAAGGCCGTTTTCACTCATTAAAGTATTTACGACTATAATTGTGTGAGACATCCAACGAATAGTCATCCAGTAAATTTCGTTTCATTTTATTATCATTCATATGTTACACAATATCATTTTAAAATCGATATTAGCCGGAGTAAAATAAAAATGATCTTTTCAAAAAAAAAAAAAAAAAAAAACAAAGAATAGAAAAGATGCATTCCAGAAAAATGTTATATTTATTTTTTCCAATTAAACAAAAAATATGTTGAATCTCTATTATCAAACACAATATTAATTAAACATAATTATTTAGAATCTTGCACGAAAAGCTTGTTAATATTATATTCTAATATATAGAAGCAGAAAACATCTTAATATAGATGGAACGATTCTAATTTGTATATATAATTTATAAAGCAATCAAATAAAAATCATCATTTTATATCTATACATTATAATGTTAAAATATGCGAATTTCATATGGCCAATTTTTTAATCGATTTTTTTCTGTAAGCTAGAAGTCTATTCGCACGTGGTATTTCTGAAACTACCGCGTGTAACCTACCGCTTTTAAATGCCATATAAATAGACATATAATAAAGTGATTGATCACCGAGCTCAACTATCACGCGTTACAAGAAGCACCAATAAAATCGTCAAGGTCGTTTCACTCATTAAAGTATTTATGATTGTAATTGTTATGGGATATCGGTCACAATTATCACCTATTTAACTTCATGCCGGGCGATTTGTCTTCGACATAGCGCAACGCTTTACAGCTCGGTCCAGTCACACCGATAGAAGAAAAGGGAAGACGGGGGAGAACATAAGAGCTCATAAATGCGAATTTAAGAGACGCAATAAAAACACATTGAAATCGAGAGTGAACGAGCGGAAGCACGTGCTTCAACTACCGCGGGATTTTGTTCGTCACATCGCTGCTCATTTACGGATGCGTTCGATGCGAAAAGTGTATCTGCATTTTCTTTTGATCTTCTTAAGTTTCTTTCTCTCCTTTTTTTCTTTCCCTTCATTACTTCTGATCCAAATTAAAGCAGATTTTTTAAGATAGAGTCATATAGTCGATCTTGATATAAATCTATACAATTATAATTTTCACTAATTAAACAAATTGTGACTTACTCGTAAATAAATAAAGAAAAATTTCTCTCTCAATTATTTTAAGTACTTCTAATTCTTGCAGTTGTATACGTTCTGTATATTATATGTTCCGCAGCGTAGCAGTATATTTTTCCGAATTAACACACCGAATCGTAAATTTTCGATTGAAGTGATTCATTACCTTGCGAACCTTACTTTACACAATCCATCTCGAGACAGCGCATTTATTTGATTTATTTTACTGAAGTAACTGCAGTCCTGTCATTATAGGCACAATACCTATATCGATCAGTATATCTTCGTTTTCCTTTGGTTAGGATTT